GTTGGGGGGAAACCCGGGTGGGGGACTTCTGGTCTGTCCGGAGCCCCCACGGGGGCCATCCACGTGGTGGGATTGGGGGCTGCCGCCAGGCCCTGGCCATTGCCGACCTCTGACCTCCACGGCTGCCCCATGTCCGCAGCGGTTCTGGCCCCAGTGCTGTCCCTGCACGTGTCACGTCCAGCGGGGCAGGACAGCGAGAGCCTGGTGGCTGGAGTGGCAGTGGCCCGCCCACGGGGCGAAGGAGTCAGTGCCGCCTCCGGCAGAGGTGCCCCCTAAGCTAGGTTGGGGGACGCGTCTCAGGGTGGTCTAGGCAAAGTGTCAAAGGTCACCAAGCTCAGGAGGCATTGGGGGGCCGTGAGGGGCATGAGGCCAGAGGAAGATCTAGGGGTCAGGGTGAGTCGCCCAGGAGGAAGGGGGCACGGGGACAGGGACAGGTTCCAGAGGTCTGTATGAGGTAAAGCAGGGGCGTGGGGTGGGGTCAGCCCATGGCTAAGCGTGTGAACAGAAGGATCTCCAGTCGCGGAGCGCCACCCCCTGCCCCTGGTACCATTGTTGTCAGCAAGTAGGAAGCTGCCGGGGACGGCACCCCAGAGGGTCCCCTGGCCATGTGGGGGTGACCACAGAGTGTCCTGTGTTCTGGATTTCAGCTCCAAGGGCCTCACCTCCCTGCCGCCACCTCCTGGGACAGCCAGTCCAGGGCCATGAAGACCAAGAACCGGCCCCCGCGGCGCCGGGCCCCGGTGCAGCACACAGAGGCCACCCCTGGGGAGGGGACGCCAGAGGGGTCCCTGCCGAACCCGGGGCCAGAGCCGTCCAAGGGTCTGCGAAGCCGGCCGGCGCGGGCCGCAGCAGGGGCGAGGGGCGAGGGCGGGCGCAGGCGTCCAGGCCCCTCGGGACCCGGTGGCCGTCGTGACAGCAGCATCCAGCGGCGGCTGGAGAGCAACGAGAGGGAGCGGCAGCGGATGCATAAGCTCAATAACGCCTTCCAGGCCCTCCGTGAAGTCATCCCGCACGTGCGCGCCGATAAGAAGCTCTCCAAGATCGAGACACTCACACTGGCCAAGAACTACATCAAATCACTGACGGCCACCATCCTGACCATGTCCAGCAGCCGCCTCCCGGGCCTAGAGGGGCCGGGCCCCAAGCTCTACCAGCACTACCAGCAGCAGCAGCAGCAGCAGGCGGCTGGGGGCACGTTGGGGGCCACCGAGTCCCAGCCCCAGGGCCACCTGCAGAGGTACTCCACCCAGATCCACAGCTTCCGAGAGGGCACCTAACGCCCAGCCCTGGGTGGGGGTGGAAGTGGCCGCGGCTGCCTGGCCTGCTCCTCCCAGCCCCAGTCCCTCCAAGCCGCGAGCCCCAAATGGGCGGGGACACCCCACAAGGACGCGGCCTCAGCGGTTCCATTTTCCCCCGAACATTCAGCCATTTCCCTGGAGCAATTTTTCCTGCCCCACTGGGGACCAGCGAGTGGCCTAGTTGAGGCCGTGGCCCTGGAGAGCGGCGTGAGGCCCAAGCCTTTGGGTAGGGCCCAGGCAGATCTGGATTTTTCATTGAGCCAGGCAGTCTCCTTGAAAAGGAGGAAAAGTTGAAAAACCTCCTTAGCCTTGGCACCAACGATTCTTCACCCTGACTTCCTCCAGGGCAAGGGGAGATCCCAGGAAAAGGGTTACCTGCAGGTTTTCCGAAGCCAAGGCCCTGGCAAGGGACCCCCGCCTCCAACCTTCATTGTAGGGCTACATGGGGCCTGGGCTCAGCATCCGCATTTGGGGTAAACTGAGGCCGGGGACAAGTGTGGCAGAGCCCAAGGCTGCTCAGGGAGTGGGGCCAATCTGAGATGGTTGGAGCTGCCAGAAAATCTAATCAGATGACCTCAAATTCATCCTCAAAGGTTGAATAGTGGGGAGGAGCTGGAGTCTCTTCCTCCCTCCTCCCGAGTGGGGGCTCCTGGATGTGGTGACCCCAGGCTGTGCCTGGTTGTGGAGGGTCTGGGGCAGGGTGTGAGGGGTGCTGTGGAGCTGGAGCAAGAGACAGGGCTGGGTGTTCCTGGTGCAGCCCTTCTGGGCATGGGAGAGAAGCCCCAAGGCCCTTTCTTGCCCCCCAAGAGTGGCTCTGAGGCCTCCTGCTCAGCCCCGGCCCGCGCAGGGACCAAGTATGCCCCACTCCAGCCCCCGCCACCGCCATTACTTATTCTCACTGATGTGGGGTTATCATATAATTGGCACCATGCTGTGTCTGTAGGACATTACGATGTGCTTGGGTCCTGGTCTGAGTTGGCAGCCCGTTGGGTCTCTCTGCCTGGTGGAGCCTTGGGGTGGCAGGTATATCCCTTCCCCCACCCAGGTACTTCATCCTCATGGCTGGGCCTGGCGGTTTGGCACGTCTCTGCCGCCCCAAGCCCAGCTTCCTTCTGCTGGGCGTTCCTGCCCCACTGGCTCTGCCGGACTTGGCCACTTGGCTCTCCCCTCCCTCATGCCTCTGCCCAGAGATGTCCTGAAGGCCCTCAGGGCCAAGCTGGCCCAGGGATGTGGCTGCCACAGCTGAGACCAAGGGCCCTGGTTGGCCCGTCCCCACCAGGTGGCCTTGCCCTCCCCAAGATGGGGGTCGTGGTGCCAAAGGCTGCATGTACCGGCAGGCTTGGGGTCACGCCTAGCCACGTAGGGACACAGGTACCCTGAGTATCTGGCATTGGCAGCTTCAGACCTGATTTTCCTGGTCAGGGCCCCTTAAGGTGGCCCGGGCACGTAGGTCTCATTTCGATGAGACTTTATCAGAGGCCTGGTCTGGTCCTGGCCCTACCGCCCCAGCTGCCCTTCAGCACAGCTCGGGGTGGGGACTCCGGGATGCTGGGTCTGCCCCTTGGGAGGGGGCAGTCTGGAAGGTCAGGGTGGTCCACCACTGTGGGCTGAGATTGGATGCAGGTGGGAGCTTGGGGCAGCGAGAGCTCGGGGCTCCCCTGCTGTGGGACACCTGCCCAGCGGGGACTCAAGATGACAAAGACCTCACCAGCGGGGGTACTCAGGTGCCACAAACCTGGCAGCTCTTGTTTCCGGCTGAGCCATGGCCAGAGCAGGGCTCAGTCCGCCCCTGAACTTGCTGAATGGACCGAAAAGCTGAGCCCGAAAGCCCAGAAGAGCCTCGGTCCAGGAGACGAAGACTGGACCCGGTGTCTAGCACAGCCCAGGGCTTCCCGGGGGGCAGCAGGAGGGCCTGGGGGTCACCGCCTTCAGGACAATGGCCTCAGTGGCTCTTTCTGCCCTGAACTGGCACCCGCACCTCCTCTGCTTCCTAAAGGGTGACCTGGGCAGAGCAGCCAGTCCTTCTTCCCCTGAGGCCAGAGGGGACACCCTGTGGCCACATCACACAGGATACTCAGTAGCCATAGTCTCGCTTCGGGGTGTCCAGTGTTTCGAGGAGGAGAGGGGACAGGGGCCAGGCCCACTCCCTTGGCCCTCCTCTTGGACCCTAAGGCCAGGCTGGATCCTTTTATCCTGTGGGGAGCCCCTGCCTCGGCCATCGGGCTGAGTTCCCTCAAGTCCCCGCATAAGTGGGTGAGAGACCCACGCGCCGTCCCCCAGGGCTGTGGACGCACCCACCCTTCGGCAGACAGACGCCCTGAGAGCTCCGGAGGCGCGATCCCCATCCCCACCCGCGGAGAAGCCAGAACCGCGATTGTTGCGCCTGGGAAAACCCAGCCGGAGCCGCACGGCCCGTGCCCCCGCTGTAATTGTGCTGAAAATGATTCTCAAATGACCCAAACTGGCTCTTATTTTTTCTAATGGCCCTCTCAAAGTATTCATGAAATTGATGCTGTGTCATAAAACAAAAAATAAAAGATTTCACGGCAATGTCTGCTTCAGGCACGTGGGGAACCACACGTTTTAATCAATCAATGTTATCGATAAAAACACCAGGGCATGGACACTCCAGGGGAAATGTTTATTGAGTAAAGCATCTGAGGAAGTGATGCTGGGCAGGTAAACAGTTGGTGCTCAGCAGCGAGAGGACGCGTCGCTCTGCCGTTCTGCAGGGTGACGCCCTCCCCGTACCTCACTGAGAGCCACGTGCAGACACAGCAGGCCACAGCAGAATGCACAGGTCACTGTTGTAGGGGAACAAACCGTAATGCCCAAAGAAAACCTGATAGAGAAATGTAAACAGACAGGACAGGGTGGTTCCAGGTGGCCGCCACCGTCAGGACCTTCCCGTGATTGATCTGAGAGCTTCCCAGCCGGCGGCACTGCGACCCACTTCCAGAAACACCGGAACACCAGGTCTCTCAGATGCCGGCGGGCGGGGCCCCAGGGAGACCTTTCTCAGCATCAGCTTTTGGGTGACAAACCCCATCTTGTACAAACACAACGGACCCCCTGCTGACAGTGAGACCAGGACCCTAGGAAGGTCAGGTGATGGCACAGTCATCCCCTCTCCAACCGGGCAGAGCCTGGGGTTGGGCTCTGATGACCTCCCGGGCAAAGTGTCCAGGTGGAGGAAGCAAACCCCCAAATGGGGCACAGAGGGATAAAAAGCAGCTGAGAGGCCGCTGGATGGGTCGGGGCCACTTGGCCGATGCTTTCTGCCTCGCCTGGCCGGGCCGGGCTCTCGCCACAGGATGGAGCGTGACTGTGCGCCCTGCTCCATGTGCAGGATGGGCTGAGGGTCCGTGTGCACACCCCATGGCCACCGCTGACGGACACAGTCCTGCTCCCCGCAGAAGCCTGCAGTCTGCACCCCCTACAACATGATCTGATCCAAGAAGCCCCTGTCCGCCAGCACGTCTGGGGAAGGGGCCGAAAGGGGGTTGGTGACGGTGACTGCGCACACGGACACTGCCTCCAGCCACGGGGCAGCCTCTCATCCTCTCCCAGCCTCCTGTCTGGTACCCCGGCCCCCTCAGGGAAGAGAACATCCCATCCAATCCCATCTACTCCAGTGTTATTTCCAATCTGCTGTCTCCTTCCTTCACTTTTTTTTTTTTTGAGATGGAGTCTCACTCTGTCGCCCAGGCTGGAGGGCGTCGGCACGATTTCAGCTCCCTGCAGCCTCCGCCTCCTGGGTTCAAACGATTCTCCTGCCTCAGCCTTCCAAGTAGCTGCGATTACAGGTGCCCGCCACCATGCCCAGCTAATTTTTTTTTTTTTTCGTATTTTTAGTAGAGATGGGGTTCCACCATGTTGGCCAGTCTGGTCTCAAAACTCTTGACCTCAGGTGATCTGCACACCTCAGCCTCCTAAAGTGCTAGGATTACAGGCGTGAGCCACGGCGCCCGGCCTCCTTCCTTCACTTTTGAAATGAAAGCCTCTTTGCAAGTCCTGCTCTGAGAAATGGTCACTGCATGTGGTAAAGAGGCCCTGAGCCCCACAGCCGTCTCGCTTGGTCAGGGGTGGCGGGGCCCGGGTGCTGTCTGAGATGCCGGCTCAGGCAGGCTCCATCCTGGGCTCTGCTGCCCCAGGCCCGGTGTTCCTGGAGGGCTCCAGATTCTGGGTTCTAGTCCTGGAAAGGCAGGAGGGAGAGGGGAAGGGAAGGGTGGGAGGCCCCTCCCACCCCATGCCCCACACCACCAGGGCTCCTCGCAGACGGGGACATGTGCAGGAGTGTCCGTGGAGCTTCACATTTCGGGGCCGTCTCAACCAGTGCCTGTGAAGTGGCCGCAGCCTTGGGGCCAGGTTCCCTCCAGAGTCCACCAGGGCGACATCGCTCTCACAGTACACACTTCAGCACAAGAATGGCTCAGTCTTGATCGCCCAAACCGGGCACCATCACTGCATCTAGGTGCGTGGGGGCGCCTCAGCAGCAGACGGGGCCATGGGTCTCTGGCGGGGCACTTGGCTCCTGCTCCTGGAACGAGCTCCGGGGGGCCCTGGTGGCATTGGCCCGGACAGAGATATGGTCCCAGCCTCCCTGGAAGGAGAGAGCTGTGTCACCAGGGGACTCAGGGACTCCAGGATCCTGGAGGGGGGCTCTGCCTGGGGGCCTCCCTCCAACCCAGACCCCGGGTCCCAGGGGACGGTCCCACAGGACACAAGGTGACCACACAGCCCCAGACCATGGCCCCCGCTCACCCCGATGCCGTAGTCCCAGCCATGGCCCTTGGGCTCGTGGGGCTGCACGCCCGTGCGATGACACACCGTCCCCCGGCTCAGGCTGTGGCTGCCCTGCACTTTGTTGGCGATCACCCAGACCTGGAGCACACACCCCATGAAGCTCTCAGCCCCAGCTGCCGTGGGACGGCTGGACATGGGATGGGGGAGACCAGAGAGGGAACCAGAGCACCCCAAGCGCCCGATACCCCCTGAGCACCCCCACCTGGTCCAGAGGCCCCACGGACACTCGACACACGTTGTTGGACACGTGCTCCCAGCTGGAGCCCTGCGGGTAGCTGGGCGTGATCCCCTGGCGATACCACAGGTTTCCTGGGGAAAGAAGCAGTGAAGATAAAGAGAAAGACCTTCCTGGCCCCTCCTGCCCGTGCGGCCCAGCAGCCAGTGGCCAGGCCCCGCTCTAACCACTTCAGAGTTTGGGAAGCTGCCGGGGAGGCAGGAGGGTCCTGGCCCCTGAGTCAGGGCCACAGCCTCCTCCACTTCTCCACACTCTGGAGCCTGGGCTGCAGCCAGTTCTGCCTTCTGCACACTCAGGGCGTCCCCCAAGCCTCATAATCGCCCTATTGTGCTGGGCACGGCCGGCGTCCTGATCCTCTTTCTGCTGAGGCAGAAACTGTGGACAAGGGAAGTCCTAGCCAGAGCAATCAGGCAAGAGAAAGAAAGAAAGGGCATCCAAATCGAAAAAGAGGAAGTCACGGTGTTTCTGTTTGCCCATGATAGGATCAAATACCTAGAAAACCCTAAAGACTCCTCTAAAAGACTCCTAAGTTTGACACATGAGTTCGGGAAAGTCTCAGGTTACAAAATCAATGCACACAAATGAGTAGCACTGCTACATGCCAGCAGCAACCAGGCTGAGAATCAAATTAACCCCTTTTACAACAGCTGCAAAAAATAACACAAAATGCCTGGGAATGTATATAACCAAGGAGGTGAAAGATCTCCACAAGGAGAACTACAAAACACTGCTGAGAGAAATCAGAGATGATAGAAACAAATGGAAATGCATCCCATGCTCATGGATTGATGCGTATGGGATGAATCAGTGGAAAAATCAGTATCATGAAAATGACCATACTGCCCAAAGCAATCTACAGAGTCAATGCAATTTCTATTAAAATACTGTCATCATTTTTTACAGAATTAGAAAAAAAAAATCCTAAAATTCATATGGAACCCACAAAGAGCCTGAATGTCCAAAGCAATTCTAACCAAAGAGAATGAATCTGGAGGCATCACAATACTGGACTTTAAATTATACTACAAGCCTATGGTAACAAAAACAGTATGGTGCTGCTATAAAAACAGACACATAGCCCACCCCCCGCCAATGTATTATACACCAGTTGATACCTAAGTAGTTTTTGGGGATGATATATTACTTACACATTTTCTATGTAGTAAATAGGTACGTGTATGTGCGTGGGTGTGTATCTGATTACTTTGTTGGAGTGATTCGTATGGTTTGGAACTGTTTGGGCCAAGTTTATGCAAAAATCTACATTTTTGAGTAAACTCCCCATGACTAGAGTAAGTTTCCCCAGTATTTGAGAATTCTTCACTTCCCAAAGCTGTACAAACATCAGATAATCAATATTTGTAAGGATCGATAATGTAACTTATAATGAAATTGCTTTCTCAGTTATTAACATTAACTGGATCGTCTTCATGTAGCCTTATAACTCATTTGTGCTATTCCATTTTCCTCTGTTCCTTTTATTTTCACTTCCCTTATAATGTTAGTCTCTTTGTACTGATTTCTGAAGAGTTCATTTATGATTAAAGAGGATAACATTTTGTCTAGAATTGTAAATATGTTTTTTCTCATTCATGTTACTGTGGTGTTTTATTTTTTTGGTTATACAGAAGTTGTAAATTGAAATGTAATCTTGTTCTGTTTTATGAAAAAAAAAAAAAAATAGACACATAGACCAATGGGACAGAAGAGAGAACCAAGAAATAAAGCCAGATATCTACAACCCACTGATCTTTGAGAAAGCGTACAAAAGCAGAAACTGGGGAAAAGACAGTTTATCCAATCAGTGGTGCTGGGAAAACTGGAAGTCGCATGTACAATAATGAAACTGGATCTGTCTCTCTCACCGTGTTAAAAAATCAACTCAAGATGAATCAAGGACTTACATCTAGACCTAAAACCATAAAAATTCTACCAGAAAACCTAGGAAAAGCTATTCAAGGGCTTTGCCTCGGCAAAGAATTTCTGACTAAGATCCCAAAAGCAAATGCAACAAAAAGAAACATACATAAAGGAGTCCTAATTAAACTAAAAAGCTTCTGCAGAGCAAAAGGAGTAATCATCAGAGTAAAGAGACATCCCACAGGATGGGAGAAAATATTTGCAAACTATGCAACTGACAAAGGACTAATAACCAGAATCTAGAAGGAGTCAAACAAATCAGCACACACACACACACAAAAAACCAATAATCCCATCCAAAAGTGGTCAAATGACATGAATAGACATTTCTCAAAAGAAGACATGCGGCTGGGCGCGGTGGCTCACATCTTTAATCCCAGCACTTTGGGAGGCTGAGGCGGGCGGATCACCTGAGGTCGAGAGTTCGAGACCAGCCTGACCAACACAGAGAAACCCCGTCTCTACTAAAATACAAAATTAGCCGGGTGTGGTGACATATGGCTGTAATCCCAGCTACTTGGGAGGCTGAGGCAGGAGAATCGCTTGAACCCAGGAGGCAGAGGTTGCAGTGAGCCGAGATCACACCATTGCACTCTAGCTTGGGCAACAAGAGTGAAACTCCATCTCAAAAAAAAAAGATTTTTTTAATGGTACATTTTATTTTTTATTTTTTAATTTTTATTTTATTTTATTTTTTGAGACAGAGTCTTGCTCTGTCACCCAGGCTGGAGTGCAGTGGCATGTCTTGGCTCACTGCAATCTCCTCCTCCCAGGTTCAAGTGATTCTCTTGCCTCAGCCTCCTGAGTAGCTGGGACTACAGGCACTTTGGGAGGCTGGCACTTACGCACCACCACACTTGGCTAATTTTTGTGTTTTTAGTAGAGATGGGTTTCACTAAGTTGGCCAGGGTGGTCTCAAACTCCTGACCTCAAGTGATCTGCCCACCTCGGGCTCCCAAAGTGCTGGGATTACAGGCATGAGCACTGTGCCCAGCTAAAGGTACATTTTAAAATAACTGAAAGAGGGCCAGGTGTGGTAGCTCACGCCTGTAATCCCAGCACTTTGGGAGACCGAGGTGGGTGGGTCACCTGAGGTCAGGAGTTCAAGTCCAGCCTGGCCAATATGGTGAAACCCCGCCTCTACTAAAAATATAAAAATTAGCCAGGTGTGGTGGCCTGTGTCTGTAATCCTAGCTACTTGGGAGGCTGAGGCAGGAGAATCGCTTGAACCCAGTAGGTGGAGGTTGCAGTGAGCGGAGATTGCACCACTGCACTCCAGCCTGAGAGACAAGAGCGAAACTCCATCTCAAAAAAAAAAAATAATAATAATAATAATAACTAAAAGAGTATAATTGGATTGTTTGTAACTTAAAGGCTTGAGGGGATGGATACTCCCTTTCCTCTGCTGTGATTATTATGTATGGCATGCCATATTATGTATCAAAACATCTCATGTACCCCATAATATATACACCCACTCTGTACTCACAAAAATTAGTTTTTTTTTTTTTTTGAGATAGTCTCACTGTGTCATGCAGACCACGTTGGCCAGGCTGGTCTCGAACTCCTGACCTCAGGTGATCCGCTGGCCTCAGCCTCCCAAAGCGCTGAGATTACAGGTGTGCGCCACCATGCCCAGTCAAAACATTAAAAATTTTAAAAAAGAGCAACTTGCCGTTCTCATCCAGGGCATACACCGACGTCTGCCCCACGGACACCTGCTTCAGCCTCTGTCTTGGCGGGGATGGGATGTGGTACCAGCAGTCACCTGAGAAGGGGAGGCTGACTCAGGCACACGGCCACCTCCTGCTTATGTGGGCCAGGTGGGGCTGAGGGCCTCGGTCCCCAGCTGCCTCTCAGATGTGGAGCCTGGTGTCAGCTGTGGGCCACACAGAGCTGAGCCGTGCGCTGCCATCCACCCAGCACCATGCCTGGAGCTCTGGAAGCCGTGGCGGGCTCTGATGGACTCATCTCACCAGCGCAACACAAAGGCTTCCAGGGCAGCTCACGGTGGAGACCCAGCCTCAGGGGCTGCCCCTCTAACCCATCCCTGTGTAGAGGGCAGCTGAGTACCAGTGTCCCCGTGTTGGATACTGGACATCTGGAGAAAAACAAGCCAGCACAGGCCGTCCTCCCAGACGGCCACTAGAGTGGTCACTGTGGAGTAGACCCTGCAGGGCCAAGACACAGGGGCCACCCTGGGAAGGGCCAGGCAGGCCTGGCTCCGGCTGCCCCATCGCCAGGGTGACCACCTCCCAGTCAGTCCCAGAGAGGGGGGACACGGCTTCTGGGGGACCCTGGCCCAGAGGGGATGTTCGGCAAACGTCAGCTTGGACGGAAGGTGAGCACTGCAGGGGCTCCTGGGGCGCGGCACTCACCGGCCGGCTGCGAGGGGTACACGGAGCCCCGGTAGAAGGCGGAGCCGTCCCTTGCCACGGCCCACACCTGGTAGCAGGCCCCGATGGAGATGGAGGCGAAGGGCTGGTCAGTGCCAACGTGCAGCCAGGAGGAGCCCTGGGGACGGCGAGGAGGGGTGCTGAGATCACCAGGGCCCCCACCCCCAGGGCCCCACCTCCAGGCCCAGCAGAAATGGGCCTAGCGGTTGGGCAGCACGGGTGGCTGGGGGACAGCCGGGAGTCACACAGCCCCACCCAGCCTGATCTCGGTGCTTGTTGAAATTCTGGGCGTATCTCATCCTCCTGCGAGCAGGGAAAGCGCCCCTGTGGGCGTGTGCACCTCACCGCGGTGCTGACCACCAAGGACCAGGTGCCAAAGAACCACGGTGTCCCCTGGGCCCACCTCTGTCACCCCCGCCCCACTGGCCTCATTCCTGGGCCAACTGCCCCAGGGCACAGGGACCCACTCGGACCACAGGCAGTGTCCACTGGTCCTAGGGGCTTGTCCTGAGCAGGGTCCCAGCCCAGCTGGACTCCAGAGGAAGGTCCTTATTGCAGGAAGAATCTGGCCCCGGCACTCACCGCGGGGTTGAGCGCCGACACGCCCAGGCGGCACAGCACATCCCCCTTGTCACTGATGGCCCAGAGGGCAATACTGTGCCCGCTCCGCTCGGCATCCGGGCTCTCCGGGATGATGGACACGTCCCTGAGGGCGATGGGGGGCACCTCCAGCCAGGGCCCGCTGGTCACCAGCTTGCATTTTCTGTACAGTGGAGAGCGGACACAGCCCGGGGACCCCAAGGTGACCGCCAGGCTCCAGGGCCTCTCCCGCTGGAGCCAGGAGGAGGAAAGCAGTCAACCCCGGGGTGGGTGGAAAGAGGGGCCCAGAGGTCCCCCCCTCCCCCCCCCCACCCCACCCCACCCCATCCCCACCCCCAGCCAGGTGGCGTTCTCTGTCCAGCTTACAGGTGGAGCGTGCCAGTGACATTTCTCTTATTTGTTCATGAAAACAAACTCTTCTGAAACCAGAGAGCACTGCGAGCCTGCGGGCATTTCCTGGGCTGACATTTACTTAGATTCAGCTTCCCTCTTCACCCTACTCCCCACTGCTTCTTCCCCTGGGACTGAGGTCAGAGGCCAGATGTGGCCCGGGGTGCAGGGAACCAGAGCTCCCTCAGGGCTGGCTCCTCCAGGAGCCTGACTGTGACAGTCACCCTGCAGCCCTGCCTCACCTGGCCCAGCACCTCCTCCTCACAAAATCCTTCATCGTTTTGGACCCATGGTATGAGCTGCAAGGAGGAAGAAGATGAAATCAGGGCCACTTCATGGAAGTTTCTGGAAAGGGACCGTGCACGTCAACATTCTTGTTCTACCCGTTACAGGGCATGGGGACTGGGTGGAAGCCATGGACGGGGTTCAGAGGAGGAGGTGTCACCACGCGTGGCTCTTGGGAGACGCTTCCTGGCTGCCCCGGCAGGGTCAGGGCTGAGTGCAGCCCCAGGGACCTGCAGGGAGGGCCTCCTGGGGGTTGGGGCCTCCCAGGGGCTGAAGGCTCCCTGGGGAAGGGGGTCCGGTCCTCTCTGGGGCTGGAGCATAGCAGTCACCTGTCAGGGGTCAGGCTAAGAGGACTCAGCCCTCCCCTCCCCAGGCCCCGTCAGAGCCCTTTTGGGGAGCAAGAGCTCTCGGTCAGGGTGAGGCCCGAGGCTGAGGGGAGGGTGGTCCAGGAGGCCTGGCTGTGGCCGACGGGATGGTCCTGGTCTGCTCAGAAGCCACCTGGCTCTGGCCCCAGCTCAGACTGTGCTGGCTGCATCTTCCAACAGGCTGAGGCTGTGCCATGAAGGGTCTGCACACACCGTGCACCTGCGCCACCAGGGTCCAGGGCCTCGGGACGGGGACTGCATCTCTCTGAGGGGCCCACGCTGCCCTTTCAACTGACATCTCGTGTTGAACCCCCATCACTCAGGGCCTGGCTCAAAGCCCCCAAGAGCTGACCCTGCGAAGGCTGTCGAGGCCACTCGCCCTCCTCAAGCCCCTCAGTCTGGTGCCCCGGGTGCCACCATCTGACCCTCCCAGAGCCCGTGCCTGGCACAGCAGGGATGAACGTGGCATGGGGGAGCCATGGCGCTCCTACCCGTGCCATGCACAGAGGCCAGAGGTGCCATGCGTGCCGGGAACAGTCTCCTGGGCCCCTCCCAGCCCCTCCGCTGGCCCCTCCCCCTCCAGTAGCAGGGCTGGCACCAGGGGTCTGCTCCTTGGCCAGGTCTAGGGGGCAGGGTTCAACCTGGAAGAGTAGTGAGGACGGAGGCCACACACTCCAGGGCCCTGACACTCAGGACCTGGCCCGAAGGCCCTGTGCAGGGAGAGGCTTACGCAGGGAAGTCGCTGGCGTACTGCCACCCCTCCTGGTCCGTGCCCCCCGGGACGCTGAAATCCACGAACCAGTCGGAAACCTGGGAGGAGTGGGTCAGTGAGGATGGGAACCCCCAAATCCAGATGGCAGTCAGAACACTCGAGGAGGGGCGAGGAGGGGTGGGAGGGCGGATTCCCAACCCCCCAGGGGGCAGCGGGGCCTCACCCAGGCCCACTGCAGGGACGGGGGTTTCGTGCCAGCCTTGGTGCACTCCTGCAGCCCCGAGGCATCGCTCCACATGTACCGGTCCGTAGGCAGACCCCTGCGACAGGACAACAGGGCGGGTGACGAGGGAGACTGGGGAACCAACCGGCTCACTCAGACACCCCCATAACACCCCTGGTGGCAGCACCACACGGAAGCACCGAGCTCCAGTCTCAGAGCCAGCCGCCTCCAGACGCTCGCACTCCTAAGAGGTGACAGCCCGCTGGGCACGGCGGCTCATGCCTGTAATCCCAGCACTTTGGGAGGCCGAGGCGGGGGAATCACCTGAGGTCAGGAGTTCGACACCAGCCTTGTCAACATGGTGAAACCCCGTCTCCACTAAAATATAAAAAATTAGCCAGGCGTGGTGGTGGATGCCTGTAATCCCAGCTACTTTGGAGGCTGAGGCAGGGGAATTGCTTGAACCCGGGAGGCGGAGGGTGCAGTGAGCCAAGATTGCGCCACTGCACTCCAGCCTGGCAATAGAGCAAGACTTCGTCTCAAAAAAA